TTTAAAGATTATATTTGAAACTTAGATTCAACCTTTTTTTTTTGCTAGCATCAAGGACATAAATTGAACAAATAAAGAAAAATATTTAGTTAGTTTTTCCCTTTGAATTTTTTTTATCTCCTAACTTTTTATTGAAGTTAATCCTTTGTTATTGACTTTATTTAATAATTTGTTTTAATTTTTTAGATATAGTGATTTTATGATTTTTTTTGGTTTTTTGTGTATAAGAATCTTGCTGTGCTGAGAAAACATTTCACCACTCAATCAATGCTTAGTTTGATAAAATTTTATTTTATTTTATTAATTTAAAATTAACAATTAAAAATTTAAATATTAGAAGCTTAAATTCAGCTCCCCTTTTTACTAACATCAAGGGCTTAGATTGAACGAGTAAAGAAAAATATTTTTCCTTTTTTTTTCCTTTAAGTTTTTTTTATCTCCTAACTTTTAATTGAAGTTAATCCTTTGCCATTGAATTTATTTAGAATTGGATTTAAAGACTTATTTTAATTGTTTAGATATAAAGATCTTATGTTGTTAAGAAAAGAAATTTGATGTTCAGTCTAAAAAAATAAAATTCAATATTATTGATCTAAAACAATTAAGGATTCCAGAACCAGTGTTTTTTTTTTTAAAAAAGTGCCTAGCCCCATTTTTGCAATATTAGGAATAAAATTAAATGAATAAGTAAAAATTAGTTAGTACATGCAACACATATATTACTGTGTGAGGAAGGTTATCGTGTTATGGATGCACATGTGACTTTCTCCAAACTCTGAAGGCAATCATACTTGATAATGTTAGAATTATCTCAGCAGGGCTTTAATGTCAGGCAGTGTATGGTGGTGGCGAAGTCACAATATGACTTTGATGGCATATTCTTTTTTTATTTCTTTTTATCTCTCGTCTCCTCTATTTTCACACCCTTTAAATTCATAATTGCAAAGTGTACTGTGATTTTTTTTATTTATTTCAACTTTATCATTATTCTTTTAATTTCTATTTCTTTTCTTTTTCTTTTTTTCATTCTTTAATTTTTTTTAGTTAATTGGCCTTTTCTTTTCCGTAGACTGCCCTTGATAATATTAATGCGGAGAAACCACAGGCATTATTCATACATTACTTCTCCGCTCTCCTTTTTTTCTGCAGTCTATTATCTTCCCATGTGTATGTTATCTCAGTGTACTCCATGAAAGATTAACTTACTGTTAAAAGCTTGTTCATTCGCTTCACGTTACTGTCTTCACATTTACATAATATAGTGCTTTAACGTGCTAATTAATTAAAAAGAAATGTTACTCTCTCCCATCAGATTGCTGCTTGCCTCTTCACCTTTGCTGTGGGCGGTCTTGGGTGCTTACGTTGGCACATACATACTCAGCGATCACAAGAACAGCTAGCGAGCTTGCTTTGAGTATTTTAAAAATGTTTTTAAAAAAATTTAAATTTTTTTATTTTAAATTAATATATTTTTAATATTTTTAAATTATTTTAATGTATTGATATTAAAAATAATTTTTTAAAAATAAAAAAAATATTATTTTAATATATTTTTAAATTAAAAATATTTTAAAAACCAACAACTATTTTTAATTCCAGTCACGAAATAATTCAAGGTATGACTGAGGTACTTGATGTCAGAGTGCACATCGTCTTCTAGAGAGTTTGGAAGGAAGTATTCGTGTCGCGCGCGCGTGTAGACACGTACATACATGCATTTTGTTTCTTGCAAGGGAGGTGCTTGAACTAAAAGACCTCTAGACATGGACAGTAGTTGAGTTACAGGTTCGTTAGCAATTCGATTTGATTTTTAATTTTTTTTATTTGAAAAAAATTAAATTAATATTTTTCACAATAATTTTAATATATCAATAAAAAAATCATTTTAATATATATTTAATTAAAAAAAATTTAAAAAAGTATTACCAAACACACAATAATGTATACTTTCAGCCGTCCAATTATCAGTGGGCTTATGATTTTGTATCATGTTGACAACGTAAACATTTATTATTTATCATTTACAAAACCTGACCAGGCAGACATTTCTTCTGTAGTCATACTATGTAAGAAATGATAAACTTTAACAATGAAGCACTTTATTTTATTTTTACTATACTTTCCTTTTTTTTTTTCCTTCAAAACTCATCTTTAGATATTTTTTTCATTTTAAGTTTATTACTGTAATTTATTTTAGTTTATTTTTTTTATAAAGTTATTATATTTTTAAATAAATATATTTATATTTGATTGATTCCCAATTTTTACAAGTATCTATTTTTATTATTTTATTATTATATAAAAATAGTTTTATAAAAAAAATTAAACCAAATTAAATCTAAGATCTAGATAGATAGTTTTGCATGTTAAGTCACGACATCCGATTTGATCTAATAAATTATTATCTTGATATTAAAAAAATATGATCTTGATATTTTTTTCAAGCTAAATTATATTTTTATCATTTATTCAAATTATTTTTGGATCTATCAATTCAATTGAGACACATAAAACCAACTCTTATATGAGTTAATTTTAAATTTAGATAAGAAATCGGATTAAGAGATTTCAAGGTTAACCAACCAGGTTAGGTTTAATGGCAATGCCAAATAGTTTTTTTTTTCTAAAATTTCATCTTTTATTTTTTTATTGATTGAATTTTTTTTATCAATATTAATCTTTAATATTTATTTAATTTTGAATTGATCTTCATAATTTATTTTTATTTATTTTTTATAAGATTACAGTCTCAAACAAACATCCAAATATTTAGTTGGTGCTTGATTTTATGAATATATATATTTTTATTATCATATTATTAAATAAAAAATAATTTTTGTTTATTTTTTATAAGATTATTACAGTCTCAAACAAACATCCAAATATTTAGTTGGTGCTTGATTTTATGAATATATATATTTTTATTATCATATTATTAAATAAAAAATAATTTTAAAAAATAAAGTTACATCTAGTTGAATCTATAATTCAAATCATGAATTTAATAAATTAAATTATAAAATTTGAATCAATCTAGTATGTTATTGTTTTAAATTTTTAAAAAATATATTATCTTAAAATTTTTTTAATCAACAATATTTTTTATTAATTATTTAGATTATTTTTCAAACCATAAAGTTGATAAGATGCTCTCAAGCCAACTAATACGTTTTTAATATCCAATTAAAAGTTCCAGTTTAATAAAAGTATCCTCACAGTCTACATATTTATTTTTAGATTTAAAAATCTTTTTAGAAAAGAAATGTACGGCCATTACCAAAAGACCCCGACAGCAAAATGGGAAACATCACCTCCTAGTTATGGACCCAAAAATGCACGATTATATGTTTTGCTGTTAGATAATTCAGCATTTGCACGTGCTGCCACCTGACTCTTATGTGCTTAACGAGGCTACCTGTTTCATTTTGTGAAAGCGGTTCTTGTTGTACAAGGTAGTGAATGTAGTTGCTAGTATAGTAACCCCACGTACATGCATAATTTAATGAAATTAAAATAAATCAATATTAATTATATGAATATATATTTTGTAGCACTTAATATCATACATTTTTTTATTTTAAATATATACCATGAATATGTTTAATTTTGATAAATGAAAAAAATAAACATTCATCACCTAAAAATCTAATTAAAAGAAAGTAATTTGTTTGTTTGCATGAAAATAGTTTTTTTAGAAAGTGATTTATTTAAAAAGTGAATTTTAAGAAAATAAATTATTTTTGAATATTTAATAGTGTCATAGAAAATTAGTTGGAAGATATTTTTCAGTATTTGGTTATAAATTATGAAAAATAAACTGAAAAATAGCTAAATTAGAAAATAATTTATTAATTTTTCTTCAAGTTTATTAAAATAATAAGAAATAAATCTTACAAATTAAAAAGTTCAAAGACAATGAAATTAAAAAAAATCTAATTTCATAACTTATCTCAAATAAAATAAATAATAATTAAAATAATTAATATCAAATCTAATATGTAAAAAAATTGAAAGATAATGAAATTAAATAATATCAAATCTAATAGGTAAAAAAATTGAAAGATAATGAAATTAAAATAATAATAATAATTTTATAAATTATTTTAAATAAAATAAGTAACAATCAAAAGAATAAATAACAAATTTGATAGATAAAAAATTTTAATTTAAAAAATAATAAAATAAAAGTAAATAACAATCATAAAAATAAAAATAAAAATTAATATAAAAATTAAATTAAATTAAATTTTAAGAGATAATTTTTTTTTAAAAAAATTCAAACAAAATATATAACAATAAAAAATTTAAAAATCAAATTTGACATAATCAACAAATAATATGTTATTTTTAAATTTTTTATAACCTCTAAAAGATGTTTTTTATTCAAGATAAAAGAAAAATATTTTTCTGAAAATAAAGTTAAATTTATATTTTGATAAAAATATTTTTTATTAACTAGAAACTATTTTTTATTAATTAATTTTTTTAATTATAAATAAATATAAAAAAAACTTGGAGAAAGAAACGTATCTCTAATATATTTTTGTAAAGAATGAAGGAGAAAATGGTATAACTGTGAGATGAATCGGATGAAGAGAGAGAAGATTTGAAGAAATAATCAATGAAGGCTGCCGTCCAGTGGCGGGCAGTCATGAATAACGTGAAAGTGCGAGAGAAGTTGTGATTGGTAGAAAAGAGCATTTACAAACTCACCATGCAGCCAGGTCTTTTGAAGAGGAAAAATGAAAAAGCTTAGGGCAAGAAGGGAATGTCGCCGTTTCCATTAACTGGGGCTTGGTTTCACCCTGCAGCCAAATTACTGGTTAAGTTCACCTTCATCAGTGAATGAAAGACCTAACTGTGTACGAGTCAAGTGGACTTGAAGCTGTAATTCTTTCACAACGACAAAGAAATCCGCAGGTGGACCGGGTCCCCTTCATTTCTCACAAAAGGGATGTCTTCAGCCTTCAATCAATAATAATAGATTACTCTGAATGCACATGCATTTGCTTATGCTTGAAACAAACTGATACAAGCTAAGCTAATTTACTGGATTTGCAAGAAACCATAACATATCAAATTAAGAATCTTCTCTGTCTGGCAACACTGCTCCACCCTCTTAGCTTGTCTCTACAGACATCACCCTCCCAAAAAATAAAAAAATCCAAAATAGAAATTAGAGAAGTTTCTTAAGTCAGAGTTGGGTAATCCAAGCACGGTTGCAGATTTTCTTCACTAGCAGTGTCTAGTAATAGATCTCTGTCCACAGAAACGCTTCTCTGCTCAGTCTCGTCTCTCATTTGTAACAAAGATCTTTAACTCTCACTTAACCTAACTTGTAATGTTTCATTCCATCATGGTAAGCACTTCCATTCTCTGCACTTCTTACACAAACCCATATCTCAAATCCCTTTTTCTTCTCTTTCACACTGTCTTAACACTTCTCTTGATTATGGAATCTCAACACTGCTTGTCTTCTTCACCAAAAATGCTGATCCTGCCACTCAAAACCCAAGTTATCCCTTCCGGGTCAGTACCCAGATCACCAAACAAGCTTCCTTTCCACCACAATGTGAGTCTTACCGTCTCTCTCACAGTTGGCACTCCACCACAAAATGTCTCCATGGTTATCGACACCGGAAGTGAACTCTCCTGGCTGCACTGCAACAAAACACTATCCTACCCAACTACATTCGACCCGACCCGATCCACATCTTACCAAACTATCCCTTGTTCTTCACCCACCTGCACCAACCGGACCCAGGACTTCCCAATACCTGCTTCATGTGACTCCAATAATCTCTGCCACGCCACCCTTTCTTATGCTGACGCTTCTTCCTCCGAGGGAAATCTCGCGTCCGATGTTTTCAACATTGGGAGCTCCGATATTTCCGGTTTGGTCTTTGGGTGCATGGATTTGGTTTTCAGTTCGAACTCTCATGAGGATTCTAAGAGTACCGGTTTAATGGGCATGAACCGTGGGTCGCTCTCTTTTGTTTCCCAATTGGGTTTCCCGAAATTCTCTTATTGCATTTCGGGAACCGATTTTTCGGGTCTTTTACTTCTCGGCGAATCCAATTTGACGTGGTCGGTGCCATTAAACTACACCCCCTTAATCCAAATATCAACCCCATTGCCTTACTTTGATCGGGTTGCCTACACGGTACAGCTTGAAGGCATTAAAGTTTTAGAAAAGTTGCTTCCTATACCGAAATCAACTCTCGAACCAGATCATACAGGTGCTGGTCAAACCATGGTTGACTCGGGAACCCAGTTCACGTTCTTACTCGGACCTGCTTACAATGCTTTGAGAACCGCGTTTCTGAACCAAACCAGCAGTGTTTTAAGGGTTTTAGAGGATCCAGATTTTGTATTTCAAGGGGCTATGGATTTATGTTACCTGGTCCCGCTAAGTCAACGCGTTTTACCACAGTTGCCAACGGTAACTTTAGTGTTCCGGGGAGCCGAAATGACAGTATCGGGTGATAGGGTATTATATCGGGTTCCGGGTGAATTGAGGGGAAATGACTCGGTGCATTGCTTGTCATTTGGGAACTCTGATTTGTTGGGCGTGGAGGCATATGTGATTGGTCATCATCACCAGCAAAACGTGTGGATGGAATTTGATCTTGAGAAATCAAGGATTGGATTGGCACAGGTACGGTGTGATTTGGCTGGCCAGAGATTTGGTGTGGCCCTGTAGGGTCCACATATTTAATTTCCCACATGAGAGATTTTTTTTTTTTTAATTTTCTTTTAAGATCATGTAGGAGTACGTGTGTGGTGATTCTATTCTACATGTTGGATCTTGGTAGGGAGGCAGTAGGTAGTCGTTTTCTGTGAGGGAGGTACGTTCGAGGAATTGCTACCGTCCATTTTATGGTCCTTGCTATTGAATTTTTTTTAGTGTGGGTGTCTGAATTAATTGGTGTATATATTAATTAATTTTTAAAATTTTAAAATTAATAATAATATAAATTTTTATTAATTTTAAAATTTATAAGAATAGAATTAATAATTTTTAAAAACCAAATCTAAAACTTTACTAATTAAACTAAACTCATTATGTTTGAATATTATAATCAAGGGATGGCGAGCCACTTCCTTGGACGGCAATAATTTATCAGAACGGTATTTTTGTTGTAATTTGGACAATTTTCCTTCTTCCTCTTCGTAAATTGGACATTCGGTCTTTAAAATTGTCTGTGATGGAGCCACGGAGGGAGAGATGGGAGCATATTGCTCCCTTTTATATATATATTGTAAACAATTCTTCTTCTTCGATCAAATTGTTGAAGTTTGTCTAATAAGAGATTTCTTAAATTACATATTCATATAAATAGCAGCCCTCTTATATGTACTGGGAACAGAGAGGGAGAGATTAGTGTTACGAAATATAAAGTGGAACTACTTTTGGTGCATATATCTTGCATTCTAAGTTTGATTTTCTAGAAATTACTCTTTAAATTTTTCCATATTTATCTACTATTAAAAGAATTGATTAATAAAAAATATTTTTAATTAAAAAATTAGCTTAATTTTTTTAAAGTGTTTTTTCTTTTACTTGAAAGTTAATAAGTTGGACACTAGTGAAACAACCACCTTCTTTTACTTCCTTTAGTAATTATAATTATGCTTAATTTTAGTTTCCAGAAATTAAAACTATGCTTAATTTTAGTAGGGAGATATTTTTCATCATTTTCAGCTCTCTTGACATGTATGGATTTTTATCGTATTTTTCAACGCATCGCCTCGTCAATTTCCTTCTTCACGTTTGAGATTTTTTGTTATGGTTAGCTTTATCACGCATACATGTTTTTTCCTTCCTAGTTTATGAGTGATTAAAGTCCATTATTTGTTGTCCCAATTATAAGATGAATCCAGCTTCAAGTCTCTAATTTCAAGTCTCTAATTTAAGGTACAAGAGTTCTACTTAAAGCTTGACTTAAGCACACAGTAAAATAGGAAAAAGAATGTCTAGTTTCATAAGTTTAAAAGAACCAAAATTTATTGCTAGGAGTGAATTGTAAAAACTTCAATTCACCATATAGGTGATATTTAAAGCTATTATTTCAGTATATTCTCATTTAGACTTGTGATCTTATATTTTAGCATAAAATACTTTTTCATAGGATGGCTAATTAAATAATGATATTTACAATAATTTAGATTGTTTTCTTGATTTGTTTTTTTAAAATGTTTTAATTCTGGTAACTCGGTGAAATTTAGTTTGTGTAAATTATTTTGCATTCTAGACATGTTTGAGTAAAAACAATATATTTAATTTTAATTGTTTTTTCGAGGATGACTTTTTTTTTCACCTTTTAAAAAAATAATCAATGTTTCTTAGTCATTCATTTTAATTCTAGTTGGTACCTTTATAACAATAGAATTTATTACTAAATACTATTTTCCCTCAACTTTTGAAGCGTTTTTTCTAAATTTATAACCTTTAGGTTTATTTCTCTTAGGCTTTTGCATAGGTAATAATAAGTTTTCAAATGCAACAACGCTAAGTTACATATTGTGAGCTCGAATAGCTAATTCTTCAAAAGATTTTGGTTTGATAGCTTATGAAATTCAGCAAAGTTCTCATGCATCCCTTAAACACACATATATAACACAAAAGTTTTGGTAAGTCGATCGTTATGGTTAAAGCTAAAATTTCTTCATTGATTAGTGTTGTTGATAACAGGCTCCTTTGTCCATTGACATGCATTGGTGAGTTCAATTCTGCAAACTACATAATGAGTGTTATAGAAACAGTTAAGAAACTTGTATTATAATCGCTCCTAACTATTAGTTGAGCTAGACTCGAAGTTAGTGTACCATTCAAAGGCATTATCTTTAAAGGATTGGACAAACTATTTTACCATAAGATCATCATGAATTCCAGTATTGTTGCAAGTCTTCACAAAGTAAGTTATATGTTTTCTTAGATTTTCTTTGTCTTGAATTATTGAAACTTTAGTGATTGATAGCTTAGAAACATCCTTAACAGGTTGATCCTTTAGGTGTATTGCTTCATATAAAAATATAAAGGTTATACTAAACTTTCTACTTGGTCCATGATAGCTTTCTTGGTAAGTTCTTTCTCTATTGATTCATGGTAAAGATACAATCAGTTTTGCTATGAATATTCCTTGTAGAATTGATTGTAGAATCCTCAATGACATACAAGGTTTTAACAATTCAATGACAAATTTGGTAGATGAAGTTTGACTCATCTTTTGAGTTTGTTTATGAACTTTCTTATCTCGTAGTCTTTTACTTTGAGTGAAGTCAAAAACACCTCAATGAGTTTTTTTAAGTTATCCACTTAATCCTCTAAAGATAATACAAGAACTCGAAGCTTTATTTGGTGATTGACATAGAGAGGTCTTTATAGGTGAATTGTCAATATAGCTATCTTGAGTGCTAAAAAAAAGTCTATATATCTCGTTTGACTCTTGTGGTGGAGTTACCTGTAGTTTTAGTATTAGAGTAATGAGATCTCGTTTTTTTTTTATTTGCATCCAACAACAGCTTGAGAATTGTCTTAATTTGTACATATAACTCAATGATGGATTTTATTTTTAATAACAAGGTTAAAAAATATTTAATAATATGTTGGCGACTTGAATTAGTCTTGTTGCTTTTGAAAATGACAATAACTATTATGTTCTTTTTAGTTGCCATTAATAGGTTGATGGAAACTTTTTTTTAAAGAGGAAAGATAAGAGATAGAGATATTCCTAATAGAGTTATTAAAAAATTATTTACACGGTTTTGAATATCTAAAATTAAATAAACATGTGGATATAAATATTTAACTTTATTAAATATATAACTGACTATAATTTTTATTTAAAATATATAAAACTTAATTTTTTCCTAAGGTTTTTCTCTGGCTTTTGAAAATAAAATAAAAACTTAATTATATGATTGATTATGGTCTTCGATGATGGGGAATTAAAAGAGGATTGATTGCTAATAAATTGCGACTCCACTTATGATTAATGTCCTCTTCCTTTTTCACAATAAGTAATTAGAGAAAGATATTAAACACGAAATCAGCAGTGTTGAAATATGTATGATGTGAAGCCTGCAGGTGACAACAAGCTAGCGGTGGGTCTCGAAGGTCCCCTTTCTAAGATGTGTGGAAGAATCGCATCCAGCTAGTGTAACATCAAAAGCTGTTAAGACTCGGAGAGCTATATATCTACCACCGACAGCCAACAAGATGGTTAAGCACCTTCCTCCTTCCTCTTTCTTCCCTTGATAAGCAAGCATCGACGATAGGAGGTTGAGGCTACCTTCACCAATCAAGCAACGATGCACGGATAGCCTCTACTGCTAATAATGAATGCATCTCACTGATTAATTTATATATTTTCAGCTCAAACTGCTGGACTTCCATCTCCATGCACAGATATATATATATTAAAAAACAAATTTATTTAATATATATATATATATATATATATATATATATATATATATATTTT